GAAAGGTAATGAAAACCAACGGTTTATATAGTTGGCCAAATTATATCAAGTACTACGGTTAACGCCGCATCACTTCCAGTTTAATCCCATCGAACACATCTGGGGTAGATGTAAAACGTTTTATAATAATCACATTTGATGCAGTGGATACAATGACGACGCAGTTAGAGAAATGTGACAAGAAGCTCTTAAAACTGCAATTCCAGAAATATTGGCCAAAACTGTAAATAAATGTAAAAAATTGATAGAAGAGTGTTGGATCCAGGAAAATAAAATTAGTGAAATTAATCCAATGATTATAGACTTACATAATGATAGCGGTATTGAATTTAATGACGATGATGATGATTTAAAAATTTAAATAATCAGTAAGTAAGTACACTAATATAATGTTATTTATTAAATAATTGTATAGCAGGTTAACCATTATATTTCTTCTTCTTCTTAGTCGTTAACCTGATGCAGGTATCGTGATATCATGAAGCTGTTAGGTAATTTTTCCAATGTTCCTCCACGTTTTTCTATCTTCTGCCAATCTAGCACATTCTGACATGGAGCGCCAATGGTAGCAACAATATGGTCCGTGTATCGGGTAGGAGATCTATTATAGGATATCTATATATAGGAGAACCATTATATTTATACATTCATTATTAGCCAAATAAACAATCTTATATACTAAAACGCTAAGCCCTTTTCTTGTCCACCACTTTACTCAAAAACCATATTAGATAATTAAAATATTTTTTCGAAATATTATTAGTATTACGTATGAGATTGTCAAGATATACTTTTGGTATAAAAATTCACTTCCGGTTTTGAGATGACCGGAAGTTAAAATTTACTTAAAATTTTAGACCCCACAATGTATATATGGATCGAAAGGTCTCGTTGAGACGAATCTAAATATGTACTTCCGGTTGCGATCCGATACCGGAAGTGACCCGAAACGCGCATAAAACGTCAAGATAGAGCAAATCTGACACCGGATTCGTGATCAGCATGCAAAATTAACTGCTAAATGATATCCATGTCGACATTTGATGAACTAAAAATTGCATTCCGGTTTTGAGGTCGACTTCCGGTTTCGTTTTTATTAAAAAGTAAAAAGTAAAAGTTTACATAACTCCCGGTGCCAAGCAAAAGTTTTCAGAAAATGGAGACATTGTAACAAAAATAATATTTAAAATTCCATTTGAATTTTTGCTCCTCATTTTATACAAATTAACTGTAACTGATAATACAGGCAAAAATATTCTAAACAAGTAACTAAAAAGATTATGGAGAACTCCAGTGCAGTTTACCGTGCGTTTTACTATTTACAACGAAAGATTTTCTGTGAATTCCATTAATCGTGTAGAGGTGTAAGTTGGTTGAATATACTGTAGCAATGAAAGGGAAATATTTATATACAAAAATATATAAAAAAATTTGCATCTGACTGTAATAAAATCAATTTGTAAATAGATATCGTCGCTTAAGATGCAAAAGCTCGTAACCCACAAATAAGTTTTTTTACAGGAGAATAAAAAACATTCTCTGCGTGCGAAAATCGTTAAACCTAAATAGATAATTATTGATTTAATATCAAGATATTATTATAATATTGGAAAATACATAATTTTTTTAATTTTCAAAATTATTTTGGTCTAACAGTGGGTTACTAGGAATTGCTACCAAATGATAATGCAGAATGTGGTTTAAGTGTTTTATTGAATTGAAAAGTTATTTCGAAATTAAGTTTTATTTATAACTAAAGTAGATATTAAAAAGATTTTAAACGAAATAATTAATTATGTTCGATATTATCGTAAAAGTAATGACAATCAGGAGGGATAACAGCTTTTAAATCTTGAAGATGTTTCCATTTCTGAGCCTTTATTTTTCTGTTTACCAAATTCATTTGGGGCCAAACACGGCATACTTCTTGTCTGTTTCTGCGCTGCGGTAGTTCTACCCATAAATCATCAAAGTTGAGTTTGTAGAAAATAACACCTTCGGGTGTATATTTAATAGCTCTAATGTCAGTCAAATTTTTGTTCCCTGGTCTGGTTTTCCTTTTTCGAATAATCTTTAAACCGATCGTACGTTACCCATTCGGTCACATATGACTAGGGATTATGTCTAGCTTCACGAGTAATAGAAAAAGATAAGTTGAAGGCAGATATATATCACGTCTTTTAATTCTAAGTATTTTTGTTCAATTATTTTGATTTCTACTTATAGAGCAAAAAAGCAGTGCATTTGCCATGATACTGTACGGTTTTGATATGTACACCCATCACTGTACACTGTAAGTGGCAAGTTGCTATCTGTAAACCGTGTAATATAGTCCACAACCAAAGAGGCAAACGAATAGGCGGACAAATCAGTTTTTATTTCGCTAAACCAATAACACATATCATGTTTTGTCTTCATATTCATTATGGTGAAATTATGACAACAATTTTGTTTTATAATATACAGCACTTGCGTTAAGGATGGGACATACCTTAATAGCTTGTAGATCATTCATTAAAACGATGCTTGATTCATCTTGAGCTAGCTTGGTGTCATTCAGTTGTTCTTGTCTTGCTCTTTCCTTCTTAGTAATATGATTGGCAAAAGATTCATCATACAGGTTCCCTACCTCATGTTGACAACAAACTTTTTTGGGAAGATATATAGAAATTCCTTTTTCATGGAATAACTCATTAAATGTTCTTCTACTCATAGCCTGATTGCCTTCATTTTTGCACTTCAACAGGTACTCGCTATATAAAGCTGTAATAGATCGAACAGTCTGGTCTAAACATAATTTACTTGAGCTTTTACGGCAGTAGTGGGATGGCAGTTTTGGTAGCTCATCTAAAAACGTCTCTAAAAACTACTTGTCAACATTCATTTTGGGTCGTGCTCGTTTCATTCCTGCTTCTTCTGATACATTGGATTCGTGAATATTTTGTTTAGCTTTCTTAACCCATGAGGTTACTTGAAATTTATCCAAGCATAAAGTAGATAGAAATAATTTTTTACATGCATTTGTCTTTTGGTCATCAACTGATAAAGTATAAAATATTGAAACATTTCTGGACGATGTTTCATTTTTTGTATACCTTCGTTTTACAGATGTGCGTGTAATATTGTTAGCCTCAAAACTTTTCCATTGTTACCATGTAATTTTCCAAAATTTGTTAAATATTTCTTTTCTAGTATCTTCTAAAATGTTGGAACAAGCACGTAATTTACTTTTTTTACACTGATTTGAATCACAGCATGGTCCTATTATTTTCTCAGAATTTCGGAGCAATTTGCTTGTATACTTTTGTTTCAGGGTCTTTTTGAAAACCAAGATACACTTTATCGCTTTCTCGTAGTCTTTTGTTTGCTTCTCTTTTCCAAGATTGCCTCTCCGGTTTCCTCTTTATAATTTTACCAATTTGTGTGCCTTTAAAATCACTGGATACACTTCTTGCATGTTCTTCATTGGTAGTATTTTCATTAATATTCAAATCTAATTCTTGATTTGATTTTGAAATTTTGTATTGTTAAATAGGTAAAGAAATAATAAATAAGACTTACTCACAATCAATTTAATTTAACTATCAGACGACCGGTTTCGCTTTCTACAATATGCAAAGCATCTTCAAGTCTCGATACAAAGTTAAATAAATGTTGAAATGATAAAAACCCATATTAGGGTGTTGTCTAATAAAGATAAACAAAGTAGATGTTGTAAATTACAATAATTATGCCAATATTACATGTCTGTGGTTTTATTTCAAAATTAGTAAGTTGAATAAAAAGGTATAAAAAAGTTTTAAAAGTTTAAACAGACAAGGTAAGGCCCAGAAATTGTTATAAAATAGTCTATTAGATTGTAATAAATTAATAAATGAGCAAATAAATAAACATTACTTACATGCCGATACTCTAATAATTGATGGATGGTAGAACATGGTTGAAACTACTATGTATTGTTGAATGGAGAACTTAATTCTGCTATTGTAGTTGTTTGACAGTAAACGGGAAGTTCTTGAGATAGATTTGATCCAATTAAGCAGAGATATGTGTGTGATTGTTTTGTTAAATGAAAGTAATGTAATATACCATTGTATTAATTAAAAGTTATTTATACTTATTCGAGAGATATACTTATGAAATGTGTGTTATTTATTATAACATACTATAAATAACACACATTTCATAAATATATCTCTCGAATAAGTATAAATAACTTTTAATAATACAATGGTATATTACATCACTTTCATTTAACAAACAATCACACACATATCTCTGCTTCATTGGATCAAATCTATCTCCTCAAAAACTTCCTATTTACTGTCAAACAACTACAATAGCAGAATTGAGTTCTCCATTCAACAATACATAGTAGTTTCAACCATGTTCTACCATCCATCAATTAATAGAGTACCGGCATGTAAGTAATGTTTATTTATTTGCTCATTTATTAATTTATTACAATCTAATAGACTATTTTATAACAATTTGTGGGCGTTACCTTGTCTGTTTAAACTTTTTAAAACTTTTTGTACCTTTTTATTCAACTTACTCATTTTGAAATAAAACCACAGACATGTGGTTTTATTTCAACTTTTTATACCTTTTTATTCAACTTACTCATTTTGAAATAAAACCACAGACATGTAAGATTGGCATAATTATTGTAATTTACAACATCTACTTTGTTTATCCTTATTAGACAACACCCTAATATGGGTTTTTATCATTTCAGCATTTATTTAACTTTGTATCGAGACCTGAAGATGCTTTGCATATTGTAGAAAGCGAAACCGGTCGTCTGATAGTTAAATTAAATTGATTGTGAGTAAGTCTTATTTATTATTTCTTTACCTATTTGAAATGGACTCACACAAGCAACACATTCATGATTTTTGTATTGTTCTTTATTCGATGATTCTTGTGACATTTCTTCACTTATGCTGGCTGCGTTGGTGTCCGTTAAAATTTCGAAAACCTCGTCATGTCCAGACATTTCAACCCACTATATCATCAGGATTGTATACATTAATATTATGGACTATAGCTTGGTTGTCAGGCGAAACAGTTATAACTATAGGCGGGAAAATAGAATCAGAACTTGAACATTTTCCCTTTTTCTTAACATTTACAGTAGGGGCAGCTGTTTGATCTGAAACAAACACACTACTTTTTAATCATTTGGATCTATGTATTTGTAGAGAAATGCAAATTATCGTGAATTTAAAACAATAGAATAGGTAAAAACCAAAGACCACGTTCAATGTATGGATATGGGCACAATGTAAAATTAATCATGATGCATGATTATATCGTTTTAAATAGTTAAAAGTTTTTAACAAAAACATACAAAAAACCAATTGATAATAAACATCTTGGATATGTGATATTATAACACTAATCAATATTATGTAGGAATTTAACAAGTTTAGAATATTGTCCATATTCATTTTAATTTGCACAAAGTTTGCTTTTCAGTACTGCGGTATGTAATAAATAATTTTAAGGTTAGCAACATTTGGGTTAAGTAATACAAGTATGCGATTCAAAAGCTTGTAACCACATGCGCACCATGTGTATGCGGGTTATCAGGTTTTGCTTAGAACTGCAATACCTCATATCCCACATAGACTAGATGGGTATGTGGTTTACGAGGTGTTGCAGTAAATATGTGTATAGTTTTTTGTTGTAGATAAAATTCACTGAAACGATGCAATTGTGGCTTACCATATTTTGCAGGTGCATAGGTATGTAAGCAATAAACTCAATGGCTAATAAATCGCCATTTCGATAAAAGTGTGGGTTACGAGCTTTTGCATCTTAAGCGACGATATAATAAAAGTAAAGATAATAGTATTAATAATATGGAAATTAATCAACATATCAGTCAATGCGGGCAAAACTCATTAATTAGTAGAAAAGGAAATTTTCAGAACTGGTTATGGTTATCGTTATCTAGAATTATTTATTTATACTGAAAAGTAATTATCATAACTATCTACTTTTTAAATATAACGTGACAAACTTTATTAAGTACAAGTTAAGTCTGCTTATATGTACTGTAACCTGTTTAATAAAACGATCGGTTCTGTAAATCTATTTATTTTTATGTTTCATTCCACCACTCGGTCGTGAAAAGTTGTCTATTCACATTAAGACACTTCTTTTATTTTTTTCTTTGTTCAAGCTATTTGGTTTGGTTTTTTCTTTTATATCTTTTCTTCTTTTTCTTCTTCTTTTTTCATTCTTTTTTATTATATCTTTTGATTACTTCCCCAATACTCCTACTACAGTATAGTTTTTTAAGGAGATCCAGTCAAAACCTCACTCTTTTCACTTCGTCTCTTTGAATAATTTCCTTCTTAGTCTCGTTTGTCACAGGTGAAACTTTGTTTATGACAATTTGAACTAAGGAAAACTTAGGGCTTTGAAGTCCTTCACAGTAGTAGCTAAAGGTAGAGCTGTCACAGGAGAGCTACTTGATGCCGAAGATGTGGAAGATGAAAAAGCTGCAACTGTTGGTTTTTCAAGGTAGATAAAACTGCATCAAACCTGTCTGTTACAGCCAGTGGTAGTGTGAGGATGAAAGCGTTGTTGTGCAGGGGACTGTGTCACTATGGGCTTCATTGTCTTCAGAAAAGTGAGCTGCAGCAATATAATCTAGATCTGTAAGAATGGTCTTCTGCAATGGGTACAAATCAGTATAGGCAAACCCAGACTTTGCAAGTTATATCCTACAAATACCTTGGAAACCTGTTTTAACTAATCCAGCAATGTCTAGGTTATTTTGATTAGGTGATATTGGTTCATCCAATTTGCACGAGCCTAATTTTTGAGTTTTCCTTAGTGGGATTCACTCGAGCAACAAATATTTTTAGCCAATGCAATAACAGACCACAGAAATTCCTGTCTCATCTAAGTTAAACACCTTTGAGGGAGTAAAGTTAAATTTTGATAGCAGTGCCTTATACACTTGCGTGCATAGAAATCGGCCCACTGTAAACTTTTGACTTTAACTATATTTTTTTCATGAAATATTCATCAGATCACAAAAACAAATATACTGTTTGAAAGACAATTTAATATGCTTTAATGTGAGTATAAATTTATCAAGAAGGCTTATCGTTTACATGCCTAGTAACCGGTAAACAAATGAAACGTGTTTATGTGGTGATTGTCACGAAAATAACCAATTTGTCTAATTGTAAAAGTATTGCCTTTGCAAGTGAAATTTGCATATTATTCGTTTTTCATAATCTCAGCAGTGTTCAAGTGTGTTAGTTTAATGCATACTACACCACAAAAAAGCCGCCCAAGTTATTGCTCTAATCGAAAATGGACTTAGTCAGCGAGCTGTTGCTAGACAATTGTATATGACACGCGCAGCGGTTCGAAGATTGTGCCAACGTTATGAGGAGACTGGATCCTTTCATAGGCGACCTGGAACAGGCAGACGGCGATTTACAACCGCTCGTGATGACCGCTTTATTGTGTCAACAACATTAAGAAATCGTCACCTTAATGCCGTTCAGGTGCAACGACAGCTCTGTGAGGTGCGAAGAGTGGCTGTTAGTCAGTGGACAGTGAGACGAAGACTGCGGGAAAATAACCTGACCCCTAAAACACCTGCGATTGGTCCAAAACTTACTCCAGCTCATCGGCAAGCACGCCTGCGTTTTGCACAGGATCATCGGAATTGGACGTTGGAACAATGGGGATCTGTTCTGTTCTCAGATGAGACCAAAATATGCCTCTATGGTAGCCGAAAAAGAAAAGTGTACCGGAGACCAGGAGAGAGATTTGCAGAATGCTGCTTTGAAGAGCGGAGTGATTATGGGGGTGGTTCCTGCATGATCTGGGGTGCAATTTCTATAGGAGCACGAACCGATCTTGAGTTCATTCGTAGGGACGACCGTGTTAACGGAAGAAGAGGTTTAACGGCTGCCAGATATATCGAGGAGATTTTAGCAATTCTGGCATAGACTGGCCAGCAAACAGTCCTGACCTAAATCCGATCGAACATCCGATAGACTTCATACCCCAGACTCGATCCCAGAGCTTATTCTTGCAGCAGAAGAAGAGTGGCTTAACATCCCACAAGCAACAATAGCAAACTTTATTAGATCTATGCCTAATCGTATGAGAGATGTTATTAGGGCAAGAGGAGGTCATACCCATTATTAAAAAATTAGATGTTAAGTTTTAAATTGTCAATAACCCTATTTATGTTAATAATAAAAAAGCTTAATTTGCTTAATGAATTCATTTCACTATGTTAAACATAGGAAGCCGAAATAAGTTTTCATAAATTTATACGCATATTAAATTGTCTTTCAAACAGTTTATTTGTTTTTGTGATCTGATGAATATTTCTTGAAAAAAATATAGTTAAAGTCAAAAGTTTACAGTGGGCCGATTTCTATTCACGCAAGTTTATTTGTTGAAGAAGAAATCCACTTGTGGTTTGTTAAAACTGACAGCTCTTTGAATACTTGTTGACTGTGGTTTTCGCAAAGTTGGGATAGCGGCTCAAAAATTGATAATGAAACTTGTCTCCTCTAATCTTTTTTCTTTATTAAATTAGTGTGGAAGTTTTAAGTGTTCATCTAACTCAAAAGCAAGTCTTAAAAACTCTTTTTTATTCATGAGCATCATCTTGTTGTCTAAATCTGTTAAACAATCAACTAATTTGGCTTCTAGATCTTCAGATCTGGTAAGATCGACGGAAGGAGAGGCCCAGGCCGACGAAGAACATCCTGGCTACGAAACCTCCGAGAATGGTATCAAGAAACCACCTTTAATTTATTTAGAGCCGCCGTGAATAAGGTTATTATTGCCAATATGATCGTCAACGTTCGATAATCGGACAGGGCACTGAAAGAAGAAGAAGAAGATCTTCAGTAAATGTCTGCTATCGCCCCTGAAACACACTCTATCCGATACTCCCAACCAGTTTACTGTCAAATCTGATATAGAATCGTTCACTTTTATCTTGATAAGAATATATTTTTTATTTCTTATTGTATTTTTCATTAACAAGTAATTTTATTTCTGTAGTGTACACTACCTAAATTTCATAAACACTGGTATTCGCCATACATCTATACAAGTTTTAAAGTTTCATCTTCGGTGAACTTCATTTTTAATTTTTACATAAAACACAACTCCAGCCGGAATGACAGCGTCCCTATGCACTCTCCTACCTACTCTACTCTACCAGAATTGACCGCGTACCGCGTTCCATGTTCCATGAGTAGAGTGCGCGGGCGAGTGGACATTTTGGCGGTGGTGGTGGTAGTAGAGTAGAGTTACGGGTAAAGTTATTCTACTCTACCAAGCAGAGTTGCCGATTTGTACATAATTTATATGGCGTTCTGATAATAAATATTTTTTTAACATAATTGATCATTTTAACATAATTTTATACGTATGCCTCTAGAAATTATGTCGATAATTGGTACATAATACATTGGCGTATTATAAGATTTAAAATCAAAATAAAAGCTGACAATCGTATGTAGAATTGCCTAACATAACTCTGATTCTTATATGTAGCTCGGGAAAGTACAGTAAGTATAATTTGGAGAATCCCTACATCGCGCAGGGATTCACCAAATCATAAATTGGATTGCAATAAATCATAAACAAACCATTGTAAATTTGTAATTCTGTTACTGGATTTTGGTTGTACAGTTTAGTTAACGTATTATATTTGATACTTTAAAAATTAACATGCAAATTTCGAGTAATTTATGCCTGGTTGCACCAACATATCTTAAGCTTAAGACGTGCCTTAGGTAGGCCTCACCTCAGGCTGATCGACCGACCACGACCAAACCGTCCGACGGCGATCAACCAAATTTTGTATTTTTATTTTTAAGAATATAAAGAATATTTTAGAATCAAAAATTATGGTGCAACGTAAGTGAGAGTTAAGGCAGCCCTAGCTATAAGCAGAGCTTGGCTAAGCTGGAGCTTAAGATCTATTGGTGCAACCAGGCATTAGATAACTTAAAAAGAGCCATAATTCTGACTCTGATTCTGAAAAAGAAACGAAAAAATCTAAATACGGTGTTGGTCGAAGACAACATAATCCACAAAAATTTAGAATGTAATGGGAAAATAAACCGGAATTTAAAGGATGACTAAAAG